AACCAGGAACACGCCCTATGGTCCACAGAGAAGTGAAGAGGATATCGAGACAAACTTACCCTGCTCATGTACTCGAGACGGTTCACAATGCTGTTCTCTAACTGTTGTTTCCTCGCCTGTGGAAGACAAAAAATAACTTACATCAATGCGAAGAAAATATAGACAAAATTTTGCCAAAAAACTTGACTTTGTTACAATCATATTGACTACATTATGGCGCGTTCAGAAATCGCTAGGATCCACCAAAACCGGCCGTTTTTTAATTCTTGTGATATTTATGGATAAGACACGATAAAGCTGTTATGCAACTGTGGACAAACCTGCTCATTCGCTTTGACTTCTTCAAAGGTGTCTAGAAAATCTGAAAGAAAGATAAATATCAGTGAATAGACTATACAACATTTCAGCATATTCTTACGTTGAAAATACTGATTTTCCCCTCCTTTTCAACGAAAACATCACTTAGTTTGTTTAATCTCCAATATTCAAAACGATCACGAGAGTAGTAAGGCAGAACCAAAACAATTCCGGATTATTCTTGAACTAAGGCAGCTCTTACTCCTCACCCACTCTTCCTAACTTTTATACGCCCAGGGNTTTATGTATAAGACACGATAAAGCTGTAATGCAACTGTGGACAAACCTGGTCATTCGCTTTGACTTCTTCAAAGGTTTCTAGAAAATCTGAAAAAAAAATATAAACATCAATGAATAGACTATACAACATTTCAGCATATTCTTACGTTGAAAATACTGATTTTTCACTCCCTTTCAACAAAAAAACATCACTTAGTTTGTTTAATCTCCAATATTCAAAACGATCACGAGAGTAGTAAAGCAGAACCAAAACAATTCCGGATTTTTCTTGAACTAAGGTAGCTCTTACTCCTCACCCACTCTTCCTAACTTTTATACGCCCAGGGGGGTGGGGGGAAGGGAGGGAGTGACTCCCATGTGACAAGGTCGGGGATGCTGGTCGCAAAATTTGAATTAAACCCCTGAAGAATACCAACGTGAGCGTGGCTTAGCCGCTTTAGCTTTATTTGATCCCTAATAGATA